TTGAGCTGACTGAATTGTGCGAAAACCTCCGCATCAAAGAAGGGATGACTGCTTTTTACTCATCATTCAGCTAGGGCATTTAAGAGAAACACGATGTAAATTTGACTGACAAGTACGAGCTGAAAGTACGAAACCTCGAAGAGATGTACACATTTATGTCCAGACATCTAGAGGCACTGGTAACTGCAAGAGAGTCATACTCGCAGAAGGAAACTATTGAGAATATTCAGAGGACACTAAGGCACAACCTTAGCCAATCAAGTAATATTTATCAAAAAAAATTGAGTCAACAGTTGACACTGACCGGAAAAATTGTTGGACAAGATGAAAAGATAGTTTTTGTGGGACAAGGGGCTCAAATTCAAAAGCAAACGACACCGATTTACCTAAATCAAGACCTGGAGACGATGCAAAGGAGAACGCGGATGAACCAGAACGCAATGACATAGATCAACTGCTTCAAACTCCAACTACACGCTCAGAAATCGTGAAAAAACGAGACTTGACGGTAACCATGCCATTAGAAGCCTTCATGCTATTCAAGCAACTGAGTCCACTATGCGATCCTGGATCCTCGAATGTGTTATTGATGTCAAATCCAAGCCCCGTGAAGATAGAGAACAAAAAATTGTTCAAAAAACGCAGCTCAAAAAATTTTCATGATTTACTGACCCAAAAATCTCTGAGAGAAGCTATTTTAATTCGTTTAACAAAAACACTAACCGAAGCAGCTTCAATTTTAAATTTTAAACCACTTTAAAAAGGATCCACACTAATTGAAGCATTCAATGACGCGCCCACACCCAAAATTCTCCCGCGGCACCCGCCTGACGGAGGAACTGCTCCAATCAACCAGGAGCACGTTCGCAATGCTCAGATCCGGCTACTCCCCCAATCTTAATAGAAATGACCCTAATGTCCCTTTGAACGGTCCCTACTGTCCGTCCCCTATACTATTCTCCACCTCTTAAACGCCCCACAAACCCGACTGAACTGACACCAATAGACCTGTGGCTACGACCAGCCGAAGTAGTTATGTTTGTTAGAGTCGCGTCAAGATCGCATGACGCGCTCCCTTTGGGCAACAAGCAACAACGAGCACTATGGTCGCGAGTAAGGAAAGCCAAAAGAAAGTAGCATAATTGCCGCGTTCAATTTTGCCGGAGCAAGTTACTGGATATATCGGAGCCGACTGGCTCAACAATAGTTATTTGAGAGAATTCCTGATTATGAATGATTCTAATAAGGAGAACCTGTTTGATGACGCTACGACTGCAGAATTGAACAGCAACATTGAGGGAAAGTAAACTTGACCGGAAAACCAGATAACTTTGATCCGGGTTAATTTTTTGAAAGTTGCCATCACGCCTGTGACTGCGCCTCGCCAATGAATAAAGAACTACATCTCGAGAGGTATCCCCGAGGCTAAAGTTTTTGGGAGATATGCCGACGAAATTATAGAAACGGCTCGCAAAGACAATATTCAGAAGACATTAATAACAAAAAAATTCTTTACATTCGTGTCTTGTCACTCAGACTGGGTTCCTGTCATCAGCGGAGTCCCTCAAGGATCGGTAATAGGACCAAAACTGTTTGTAATCTACATCAACTCTACGACGGACGGAGTCACCTCAAATATGTTTCTTTATGCTGATGATGCAAAAAATATATAGACCAATTACAACCGATGAAGAAAGAGACGAACTGCAGACTGATCTGAATCGACTTTCAACGGGGTCCAAAGGAAGTTCAATGGAAGTTAATCTATCAAAATGCCACAAACTAACATTATCAGGAAGAACGAGGACGACAGAAAGAAAATATACACTGGACGGCAAAAACACATTGAGAAATGTAGATAACGAAAAAAAACCAGGGTGTCATCATTGACTCCAGATTACTTTTTCGAGAACATATTGCTAAGAAAACAAAGTTAGCTAATGGTTGCAATTATAAAGAAAATGTTTTTGAACTTAACGGAGGGAATCATGGCAACTCTCTACAAAACCTTGGTGAGACCGCATCTGGAACACGTCAATCAATCGTGGAACCCATTTCTGAAAAAAGGCAAAGTAGCTATTGAAAATAATCAGCGAAGGTCAACCAGATTTATGCAAACTAGCTTACTATGAAAGATTGGAAATTATGAAGCTTCCTACCCTGGAGTACAGAAGAAAACGTGGGCGTATGATAGAAGTGTACAAAATCTTGAACTGTGTTTAAGGTGTAACAGGAACTGAAGGAATATTTAGAAAAAATGTGAGAAATTCTTGAGGAAATCCGTGCAAATTGATAAAAAGAAAGTCAGTAACTTGTTTACGAAGTAGCTTCTTCACTTCACCAGCCATATACGACTGGAACTCACTACCAGACTCTGTAATTTCCAGCGTTCACATCATCTTGTTCAAATCGGGGCAGGATAAACACTGGGAAAACATCCTTTCTCGAACGACGAATTGGACTTCCACAGAAGGAGCTGATCGACAGGTTGAGAAGCATACAGGTCAGAAATTATCTGTGTGTCTTGAGTTAAGGGTGGAGGAAAAAGCAATAACTGTATTCCGTTTCTTGACATGCCTATGAAAAGAGACGCAGCAAAAAAGAAACATGAGGGCACAGTACATAGAATTTTTAACACCCATCCTACCTGGAACGCGTTCCATGAAAACATTGGCAGGGCAAATAAGTCTTTCGAAGATAACCAAAACCCTCCAAGTGCGTACAAACCGATCATTAATAGAATGTTATCGAAGAAGATTTCTGGCACATGATCACAAGCACAGGTTGGTTCCGATAAACTAGATAAAAGATCTGTTCTAATTATGCAGACCGTGGCCAATTATTCGACAAGTTCATGAATAAAATCAGAACTACCTATAGTGCTTCGGTCATTTTCACCACCCGGAAGCTTATATCTGAGCTGCCATCTCTAAAGTCGCCTGTTCCTGTTTTGAAAGGCCGAGTTATCTATCAGATTGTCTAACCTGGAAGCTCACTCATCTAGCTATGTCGGCAAAAAAGTAGGCATCTTTTAACTCGACTTAAGGAACACTGAGCACCAACGGCATGAGTTGGAAGCAGGAAAGTTTGGAAGCTAATGTCATCGATTCTTCCAATGACGACTGGAAAAGCTCAATTTTAAGCGCTAAACATCGCGAGGGAGCCCCGTGAACTGAATCAGTGGAAGGAGTATCAGACCCGTGAGTTGGCTTTACGCGTGTGACATATATTGTATTCTTTGTTCCAATGTTTTCCTGGCGTGTTTCATTTTTTTGTTGTTTGCCTGATGATGCCAGTATTTGGCGAAAACGTTTGGAATTAAAGCATTATTTTTTTTGTTTTATCTATGTTACCATCACAGACTGAACAACAATGTACCCGAAACCTGCCCATTGTTACATAGGAAAACACACAGCCGAACATCTATTTGATTGCCGGGTTCATCCTACCTCCCTTACTTTCGAGAGGTGGTGAGAGAATCCCGAAGAAGTTGTCAAACATCTTTAATTTATCACGTAAGCTCACATAACGGGAGTTTTTCTCGGTTCGCCCGCTAACTAGAAATTTCCTGCTTAAACTCAGTTCTCCTGGCCCATAGAACGAGCATATATTGAGCGTAACAAACCTCCCTCTTGAGTGTGCTATACAGAGAGGTGTCGACATCAGCACGAAAATGCTATCACTTGAACAGGTTGTTCTCCGTCTACGTCTGTTTGACCGCTAAACCCAATCAACCAAGCCAATATAAACAAAAATTCCCCTGTTTTTCACTCTCTTTCTCAAACATAATAGATCTATCCAACTCAATCAGAAGTTCAAGGCAGAGATCGATACATCTACAACAACAACAATTGAATAGCTGGAAGCCAAATGAGGTATACATAACTATACAAGACAACGGCCAAGACGTTTCATCCACCTCTGGGATGTCGTCTATGAAGCGAGACGACAATTAGTCAGCATTCCTGCCTAAGCCACGTCTGGTAGTGAGATGTTTTGAAGAAATCGACTTAGTACACAGTGCGTCTCCTCAGTGTCAAAGAAAAATTGAGCATATTTTGCCATATCGAGTTGTTGTTGCAGCCTTTTTTGCTGCAACAACCAGCAGTAATTGTTGGTAGAGCGCATTTTTTATTTCGTGCAAGTATCCTCTGGAATAGGTTTGGCTACTGGACCACTAGCCAAACCTATTCCAGAGGATACTTGCACGAAATAAAAAATGCGCTCTACCAACAATTCATGTTTAAAGATTGTTACTTTGTTTGGGTATCCGGTCAGTAATTCTTACGGTTGGTTTCCCTATAGATTTCACTCGTCTAAAACCCACACTAAAGAACCGGGGTACCTCTGGGAAGAAAGGAACCCCCTTCCCGCTATTGATGTAACTGGAAGACTTCACTAAGTGGGAGTCCATATGGAGTCTCCAGCTGGCGAACTGAGAGCGTCGGCATCAAAACGGAATTTATACAAGACAGTTCACTGGAAACTGATGTATTCATACAAACACCGACAGAAGCACACAGACCATGAAATATTCTTCTGAATCTGTGGAAATCAGTGCACGAAGTGAAAGATTCATCAAAAGAGTGATTATGCTGGTAAGATCATAACATCTTTCCCTTGACATGTTTATGTGTCCATACGACCCGAGCCTGGTCGTTAAAATGGTACTGCTGAGGCTGAGAAAACTACTCATTCACGGCCGTATCTAGCTCAACATACAAAAAAATCACTGAAAACTACAATGCGATCTAACTCAAGATCTGTCTTTATCCTGCTCTTATAGCAGTACTCATATACCAAGATAGCTGCACGTTTCTCTATTGCCATAAATTTGTTAAATTTTGCCAGTGCGATGAGAACTATCAGATACAGGCCATCTAGAATATCTTGAGTGAAAAAAAAATATCCATTAACTCTTTCCAGAATAGGAAATATGCTGCGGTTATTCAAATAGTCATTTTTTCGAATAATTAAATTCAGTGTAGAGGTAAACTCACAGGAATGAACTGGTTTTTGAATCTTGATGAAAAGGGCGTTTTAGTCGCATGTTTAGAGGAGAAACTATCTTCGTCTTCGCTTTGAAAGTCGTAGTCATCATCACCCTCTGAATCCTCGGAAACTTCACCCAGGTCCATTTGAATTTCACGCATAGACTTGTGGGAAAAGAAGTCTGGGGCCGACATTGACCCAAAAATCATATCCATAATTGCACTAAAATTTAGGTACGTATTACAGATTGCCTTACATGCAAAAATTCTTTGCACTTCAACTGCTCGAACAAATAACTGCTCGCACTCCAATTTCAGCGTGTCTAGGACAACAAGCCCACGGGACATCGTACCGAAAGGACTTAAGGTAGAATTTATTTTATTCAAGCGCATCAAAAAAAGCCCGCACGAGTATAAGTGACTTTACTGTGACGATTTAAAAAAATTATTCGCTTACATTTGTTTACTGATATAAATCGAGGTGAAGAGAAAAAGTTTATCTAAGATTGGCTCAGAACACTAAAAACGTCGTCAATGTATTCCCCGGTCTGTCACTCCATCTACACGGTGCATTTTTCTTTAATTTTTTTCTTCTTTTCGATCACTCTTCATTTTGAAAAGATAGTTTAGAATTTTTAAAACCTGAAGATGCACAAAAATGTGCGAACACGTGTTTTTGAATTTACAATTTTAACGCATTTTAATTTTTTTTTGTTTTTTTTATCTTATTCTTCTCTTTTTTATTTTTTTTTAGTTTATGCACGGTAATCATTTTTTTGCAATCGGAAAATTGCAAAATAATGGCATCACTGGAGGCGCTTTGGAGCTGCTTGAAAGCTACCTGAAAGGTCGAAAACACCGAGCAAAAGTTGGAAACTCGATCTCTTCAGAACTCGAAGTCAAAAGTGGAGTTCCACGAGGCTCAGTACTGGGTCCTCTGTTCTTCATAATCTTTATAAATGATCTCCCAGAGTGTATCATGTTAAGTTGTTTCGGATACGCGGATGATTATAAAGTTATTGCTACCAACACGATCACTCTTCAAATTGACGCGACCAGAATATGGAAATGGTGTAGCCAGAATTTGATGACATTAAACATCAGCAATTGTAAAACGCTAAACTTAAAAGGAAACGGAAGTATTTCAATGAATGGAAAGACACTTGAACAAACACAGAAGGAAAAAGATCTTGCAATAATTGTATCGAACGACTTGACATGGACTGCAAACGCCGAAAGAAGATGTGAGAAAGCAATCAAAGTGTTTTTCACTATAAAACGAAACATCGCTAATAGAAACAAGTTGGATTGCAAAAAAGAATCTTTACCGAAGCTACACTGTCCCAATAATTTCATACGGTGCAATTCTTTGGAAACCAAATAAATCAGAATTGAGAATGATAGAAAACCTCCAGGAAAAAGCTTCGAAGTGGATCCTTGGTACCAATAGATTAGACTATAAAGATAGATTAAAACGACTTTTGATTCTACCACTACCCTTGTATGACGAAATGCACGTTCTTTTGACATTTGTCGACATAGTGAAAGGTAGGTATAATATTGAGTGGGAATCTTTTGTTCAAGTACAAAACAAATCAGAACAAAACACGAGAGCACAGGTATTGAAGTTCTATAAAACACGAATTCTGTTGAAGAAGAAACAAGAAAGTGACTTTTGGACAGGAGGTACATTCTTAGCAAACACAGTTGCACAAAAGATCGGGATTAATCTTGACGAATTGGAAAATCTAAAAAATAAAATTGCTGAAGTTTACAAAAACTATTTTGTCAATAAATATAATCTCGAAGATATATGCTCCTGGAGACTGACATGTAATTGTCAGAACTGCAGAAATCAACACAAACTCAAATGAACTTGGGAAAACTGGAACTCGGGAATATCTCCCCTGGGTGCTACCCTAAATTCTGTTTTATTATTATTATGATTATTATTATAGTAACCGAGGTTACAGTCAGGAGTCCCTTCATCACGTATTCCAGTCAAAATCCTTGGAATTTTCTAGATATGGAAGTGATAATGATAAAGTAGATGACAAGTGTTTAAGTCCTTTTCAATTGAAATCGAAACGGGTTATCTTTCTTTAATAAGAACACGCAACTCGACAAGAGAAAATATAATATACAAGTGTTACAAATAAAAAATTTCGTAGAAAGTTATTTTGTCATCAAGGGGCGTTCGCAATCTGTATTGCCAGGGAGATTCTCTGTTTTAAAAAGCTGCCTGCTCTGGGTTCCTCAGTGCATATGCTTAGGTTCTTACAAAGCTTGCTCAAAAAAATTTCTGTGCTGGGGCCGGCCGCGCCCTGAATTTCAAAAACTAGCGGTTGAAAAAGATATCCATCATTTACAAGATCTTTATACTTTTCAATTTTTCGCTCTTCCGCTTCAGCGGCAACCGTACCAGGGCTACAAACAGACCCGGCATTAATCTTACAAGGAGCTAAGGAGTCTACTACCGTTCTAAAACAGACGGAATGTGAGTAGAAGATAAACTCAGGTTTGAATGCCTAGAGAATCTCCCTGCACTTTTGAGACAAGAAAGACCATGCCGACCATCCTCGGTAACGTCTTTTCCGCACACGCATTTATGCCGTTCGCATATTTTTGAGCCTAATATAAATCCTATTGCAATTCTGAGCTGTTGGTTCGACAGTTTTATTCTTAAATTTTTGCACGGGATGACGTTCAACCATTGGGAGCCAAATCTATCTTGGAACGCGTTGAATCTTTTTACGTCCGTTGGTTTGAGTCGTAAAATCAAGTCTGCAATTTCGCTGTCAAAAATTGGCTCCGTCCAATTTTTTTGGATTTCATTTTCCGGAGCCATTTCAGTTTTTCCAAGTTCAAACCACCGTTTAAGCGCATCATCATAGGTTCCATCCACATGCTCCAAACCAAAGATTTCGCTCAAGGCATCTTTCGCTCCTACTGCTGAGGCTAAGAAAGCGGGTAAAGCGAGTCGACGAGCGGAAGAAACGCCCAAGCCACCTTTGGCTGCCGGGAGAACTGCTTGTAAAAACTGGTTATCATCCATTTTCACGTTAGTGACCTTGCATAACGAATTTCTTAGTAATTTGTCGTAGCGTTCCAAAAAATCATTTTGCAAAAAACAAGGACTCGTACGCAAAAAATATAGGAGTTTTGGCATGCTAGAGCAATTTTTCAGGAGGTAAAAAGCATAATGGTCGTCTAGTTTGTCAATGACATCCGAGATTTTTTCAAGCTCCTTAATTTTTTCGTCGAGCAATTCTTTTCGGCAAAGTTCGCCGATTGGAGATCCTAAAATGAGGAGTTCTTCTTTTGTTTTTTTTTTAATTTGGGGCATATTTTCCGAAATTGTGTAAAACTGAATTATACTGTGTACTAGTCGGTCCTAAAAAACAAAGTTCGCACTTCTCAGTGTTCAAGCTCAGGCCGTAAATTTGTTCCGATTTCAGAATGTTTTTAAGGTCCCGGAGTACTACCTTATAGTCGTCGGCTAAATTTCCATCATCTAAATACCAGATGTTAATTTTCGACTCCAACTTTTTGACTAGTGTATGAATTGTTTCCGCAAAAAGGGGTGGGGCTTCAGGATCACCTTGCTGAATTCCGTCTTCTGACATTATAACAGATCTTCCGTAAAAAAGGTAACTAGGTTTACCATACGCGCAATGGGTGTAATTATACAATTCGGGGCGATTTGAATAAACCTGGTTCAGCATTGTTTCTCTATTTAGAGAGTTAAAGGCATTCTTAAAATCTAGTTTTAAAAGAACAGTGCGTTTTGGATTGTCGTCGCTTTCAATTAGGTTTCGAAACGATTGCGCAGCTATTTCTGCTCCTCGTTTGGTACCGCATCCTACCTGTACGTTTCCGAAAAAATTTTGTCGCTCGGAGAGGGCCTTGCTTCCAGCGCATTTAGACGGTGCGTGGATCAAAAAACTCTTTAATTGCAATTTGAGCACAATGGTTAGTATATAGTTAGTAAGTACAATGGTTATATATGCTTATTAAATTATGAAATAGTTTCAGGTCAAATGATTTTCTGGTTTTGCCGTGGTGGCTCACATATGCTTTAACTAATAATTCACACGTCTAAGTTTTCAATTAAACCCAACTAGCGTGTAACGCACCTCCGGTGCTTCGAGTTGTTAACAAGTTATTAAAAACCGCAGATATTGGAAATAAGATCTTCATCCTTCGAGTGTACTCTGACAGGAATGGTTATTTCAAATTTTGTACTTTTTTCCTTGTACTTTGAAAAACCATAAAATTATGTGAAGTTCTTTGAAAAATTATAAAATGACATCAAAAAACGCCATGTCGCGGAAACTAAAATTAAATACGCAGTCACAATGGTATGCAAAAATTTGCAACTCCTGAGGTACCCTGACAGCCCCCAACTACGTGGTTAGGAATTTCAAATTTTTCAAAAATCACAAAAAAACGTCATATCTCGAAAACTACAAGGATTTGTGCCATCAGATTTGAAGGCCAAATTAGCAAATTATTTATAACAAAGTTCTTTGAACAAAAAATTTTAAAAAAAAGACATAACAAACGTCACATCTCGAAAACTAAGAAATTTTTGAGTATTTTCAAATCTGTTTTTTGAAAATTTTTGAAAAAATCATAAAAATGTCATATCTCGGAAACTAAAAGGATTTGAGCAGTCATATTCAGAGGCAAGATTTGCAACCCCTGAGTGTACATCAGAGTTTCCAACTACACGAAAAAGATTTTCAAAGTTTTTGAACATTTTTAAATCTAAATTTTGAAATTTTAAGAAATGTATATAAAACGTCATATCTCGAAAACTACAAGGATTTGAGAAGTCAAATTTGGAGACAAGATTCGCAATCCCTGAGAGTACCCTGACAGTACCCAACTACAGGGTTGAGAATAACAAGTTTTGTGAAATTAAAAAACACTTTGGAGAAATTCACAAGAATCTTCGTAAGAGGCCCAATTTGCAACCCCTAGGGTCAGCCTGACATCATTCCACTTTTGGGCTGCTTATTTCAAACTTTGCTAAAAAAACTTAATTAAAGCTAGAAAATCCCAAAAAATTGTAGCCATTGCAATATACGGCTTAAACGTGCAAGAATTCGTTCCTTGAACAAGCAAAAATAATAAGCTGTGAAATCCTAAACATGGCGCGACAGTGATGCCACTTACCAAGCTGGAACCCTTTTACGCGGGGGTAGGTGTGCGAAGAAACTC